ATGTTTTAGAAACTTTAAATCTAGGACTAGCAGCTAAAATTTTGGTGAGTTAATTGTCGATATAACTTATTTCGGCGATATTAACACTAAACTGAAAAGATGTTAGGGGCTTAAAAATTATAATTGCCTTGCCACAAAGTGTACATAAAACTACTAAGGCCCACAAAACAACAAAGGCAACGAGACATTGGAAACATTGGTTAATTAAAACAAGCACCGTTCATAAACTCACTATAACAAAAAAGATAAATACGAGAACTAATTATACACTATATACAGAGCTATAGATATAGTATTTTATTTTAATTCTCTGAACGCAATTTCTGAAAGAAAAGGAGTGAACATTTGCAAAGAAACTTTGTTCCTAAGCTACATGTTGGTAGTACAACTGGCAATTTTTACCAGATTTTTTGTGGAAAAACTTTTATCAAGTTATGTTTAATGTGTCTTTTTGTACTTGATCCTGCAGACCTACAAAAACAGCTGTATAGAATAACACAAATGAAGCCTGGATTTACATGAAGCCAGTTGACAGACAGGCTATCCGCCTCAGGTAAATTGAAATGCACTAGGGGCAAAATACCTAAGAAAACTTATTCATGAATCTTCACCAACATAAGTACGTAGAACGTCGATAACCAAGACTCTCATGGATTATTAAACAAGACTTGGTATCAAGGTTGACTTCTTATTGGGGTTTGCTTGCATTAACATGTCATTAGGGTTAAAATAAATTCAAGGGGATAAATATCAAGGGTGAGGGTAACTTGTTATTGAGAGTCTTATTATCGAGAGGTTCCATTGTACAACATTCATTTGATCAAAAGTCTACTTTTTTAACACAACGTCGAAAAAGTTGTAAAAGCCAATACCATAGCACAACCTACCCATATTTAAATGTGGTTTAGGCTTTCATTGTTTTCTATGCAATTTTTAATCGTATCGTAATTTAGTTCTTAAGATATATTATTTAACACATGAATTGAACTTTGGGTTGAAGATCAACCTTGCATCCAAAAAATATTTAGTGTTGGTGTTAAAACTTTATGTGCGAGTGCCGGTATTGATAAAACATACTCCCTTAGTAGTTTTCTCATCCTTATGGAATAGCTGAAGGTGCACTGTAGATGTCGTGTTTTGTTTACAATTTGTTTCTTCTTATTTCAGTAATTTAAAACCACGTACAACCAAATACAACAATCTTACTTAATATTATAAATGTGAAAGTTTGTGTGTTTGTTTGTTTGAAGTTCAATCACGCATTAACTACTGGACGGATTGGGCTGAAATTTGCTATGATTATAGCTAACATTCCCAATTAACATATAGGCATATTCTTATCTCAAAAAATCCTTTAGGGCTCCGCCCCAGTGGCTCTGTGGTTTCCCATGTTAACCTTATGAGAATTCATATTTTTAAAGGGAATAAAAGAATTTAGTCAGCTGTTTCAACTTAAAAAGTTGGTTCTATGGTATGCAAAAGCATTAAAAGTTATAAGATTTACCAATAGGGTGCAGCACTATTACTTTTTTTGCATTTATGGAAACAGCTTATTTGAACTAAGCAACAACAAAAAACTATGATATGCAATGAGAAATGTCAAAGTATGATTGTTTACAGTTACTTTTATGGTTTTAATTTCATGAATCATTTGTGATATTTTGCGAATCCTTAACAATTTATTTTTCTCTATTGTTTAGGTGAAGTGGTAGAATTTTATAGCTACGGTAAACGTGTATTACTATAGTACACCGTGAATTTTAAAAAGCAAATTTGATAAAATCGTGTACTCCCCTTTGCAAACGCAAAGCTAACTAATAACCGCAATAACTGCAATAACCGTTCTATACTTGCATGCCAATCCAGTACGAAGGACGGGTACTCAGCTAGTATAATCATAAACAATAACTCATCCTCTAGTTATATGACCAAATAGTAAAGCATAGATCATTAAATTAACTTTAAAATAATAGAAACAAAATTTTGTTGACACTAGCCACCAGTGTCACCGGACATGAACTAGACATGAGTAACAAGCTTCCAAATTTACAATGGGATGGAAAGTCTACTTGTGTTGGTTTAACTGGAGGGTTAGGAAATAAGAGATAAGAAGAGGGATACTTAAGAAGCAGGATTAATAAATGAATCGAACATCTGAGAAGGATGGGGCAAAGAGGAGAAAGCTGGTAAATATTGTAGGATGAGAAACTGTGGAAGGAGAGAAGATGGAGGTTATCACCTAGACCCGAAAATGGCCATAGCAGAAAAGGATAGTTAGTTAGTTATGTATGGCATCCCCATCTCAAAAAATGATGATGATAATAATAATAATAATGCATGCATATAACCTTGATAACAACTCTCTGTATGGGGTAATCAAATGACTTGTTATCAAGGTTGACTCCTTATAGAGGTTTACAATAACAATTTAATCGAGGGTAATATAAAATCAAGGGCATTTGAAAATGACCCTTATCATGAATGGTACTTCTTATCGTGGTTCCATGGTGTTTATTTGAATCATCGCACATCAAAACAGATTTGAAGCATTTCATAGCATTCTCATAGCAGTAGTGAATACTCGAGTCATAACATTGCGGCCGGTTGATGATCTTTGGTCAAATCTACAAACACACAGACAGACACACACACACTCTTTACGAAGAAGAAGAAATTAAGGATGGTGCCAGACCCGATATGAAGGCAAAAGAAGTACCTAGTGTTAATGAATTATGATCACAAAAATCCAAAAAAGACCTTATACTTGCTTGAATGTATCCTTTGAAGCATATACAATTCCATGGATGCTCCAACAGGAGAGAGCTGGTCTAGTGGTAGTCCGTGAGACTTAGGTTCCCAGATTAAATCCCGCCAAATTACCAATGGATTTTATCCAAGTGATAAAGCCGCAACCCCTAGGTCTAGCCTTAAGTAATGTGAAAAATGATGCCGGGCTAGAACCTAGTGTCTGAGAGAAAAAATATGCGTGGATACTCCAATGACATTGATCCTTGCTAAAGAATAATGGCACTTCGCTGTCCTAGATTAACCAATAGGTTAAGGTTCATGGGCAGCAAACATTTTTTTTAGTTCATGAGACTAAAACTGTTAATTCCATACCCACAAAACCCCCCGGAATGGCCCACCCTACTGTTCAGGTAAAGCGCCGCCACCGCTTCCACCCAACATTTGACTGGTGTAAGATATAAAAAAATAATAATAAAGTGATTGTACTCAAAGACAAGTGGTTTCCAAGTTCTAATTAAATATAGGGTTTTGCATTTGATGCTTTGTAATTTTGGAGGCTTAAATTTGCTAACAAAATTCAATCAATGTTATTTTACTAAATTAGGTATTACAGTTGTACTTGATCAGATTTCAGCTGAAAAAACAAGGGCTGCCAACACTACAAAACATTTACAACAGTTTGTACTACCTGCAGGTATGAGCATATTAAAGTTTTTAAAATACCTCTTTAAAAAAAATAAAAAAGGCAACCCCAACCTGAAGAAAATGACGAGATGTATTGCAGTGTTGTACAACCTAGAAGATAACTATTTCTCATATTTGTTTTACTAAACACATTTAGGCCAATCGTCAATTCTAAACGTAACTAACTCTGAACGTATCTACATAAAAGCAAGCCTTAAGATCTAATTACAACTATCCATTTTTATTTCGTTGTTTATGTCTGTACAATCTATGAAGTCTAATATTACAATAAACTACCCGACTTTTACATTATTATATTTTTATATTTATAAAAAAGCGAGTCTTTTAAAACCTTGTTTTTATATTTTACTGATAACTAAGAAAATTGTTCAATAATCTTCAATACTCTAATATGGCCCCAAGCTTGTATTTGTGTTTGAATAGTAAAATATACTTATTTAAAGGTACTTGTGCTTTGCTCTAGGTAGGCCTAGAGTATATTAAAAATCTAATATTTGCTAACACTACACTGAGGTTTAACGATTTACAATGAATAAATTTTCTCAAGTCTAATTAATAACGAAACTCGAATACTAAACCAAATCACCTCAACTGTAATTCTAGCTATTATTAACCTTAAAGATTTAAGCATCAAAATATTAACATAAACAACCAATATCCAAATCTTAATATCTGAAGAATTAATCAACAATCATTATGATTACTTAAATTTACTTTGAAAGAGGTTTAAAATAAAAAATAAATTTACTAAATTGAGTTTAAAACCATCAAGTCAATAAGGTAATACTTGTTATAAGTCACTGATAGAAGTGCATTTACCGGATAAAATAACCACTTAAACAAACCAAATAATTAATAGTACAAAACTGTATTGTATTTAACGAAAGAGATAAATTTGTAATATAACGTTGCTCGCATAAGCAAACTACACATATGTGTGTTAATAAAACCATAATCTTACCTGGTAAACTTAATAGTTATGGAGTTGAATAATTATTTTGTTGTTATTAACCATTTTGCAAAATTGTATTAAGCTACTTCAAGCATTTCTGACGAGACAAAAACAAACTATGGTAAAATAAATAGAATCCTAGATAAACATGTTTTTATCCAAAAGGAATAAAAGAATAGCCAAAAAAACATTGTTTTTCATAAAAACACCACAACTTTTGTGTCAACAAAATTTAAAAACACAGAAAAAGCGCCAATATATGTTTCATTGTTTTTCTATTTTATTTCCATATTTTATGATTGAAACTACTTCAAAAATAAATTAATTTGTGTAAATAAACCATCAGTCAAATTGAAATTCATTGATTATTGCCAATCCCATATCATATAAAAGAAACTTAGAGGTTTTTGGTATGATATAGTAAATTAGAAACACAAAAGTATTTTCAATTTTTAGTTACAATGTTTACTAGTAGTTTTTTTTATAGATTGAGGAAATGCAAAAAACAAATCTTTTGGAGAAAAGTAGTTACACAAATTAAAGGTAATCCAAATTAATGAAAAAAGAAAAAGATCACAAAATAAAAACAAAATGATCAAATAATAAAACCTAACTTTATTTTACACTTTATGTACAAAAGATTAAACCTAGGTACAGCCACATGAAATAAAACTAAAGAACATTTTGTATGTACAAAATAAACAAATCTATATACAAGGACCAATAAATAAATAACAGATATTGGGACAGACAATTAATAATGCTAAAAGTATACATTTTACTTCCTAACGTCTTTTTAGGGCAAGTTACAGTTTTAAAAAGTATAAAAAATAATATAACTGAATAAAACTATGGTTTTGCATATAAAAAAACAGAATTTTGAAAATGTTAATAGAATCTTTAAGTAATATTTAAATCAAAACCCAGATCATTCATTGACAGTACAAGCAGGTATTTTTTAACTTTTTTGGAGGACTACGCATTTAAAGTTACTGTATATCACAACCAATCTATAATTGAGCTTTGCAATATATTCTATAATGTAAAACTTACAACATAAAGAAAATCACAAACAAAATATTTACAAACAAATAACTGAAAAAGAAAAGTTCAAATGAAAAAGAAAAAACTACTAAACCCTTGTGATTTTTACAGTGCTTGATTTCAGGACCTTTACACTCTTGAGAATTTTTTAAGATTGTTAAGACAAATTTAAAAGACAATATTTCTATGTACTATGTATTGTTTATGGAGTTTTATGGCAAAACAGGAGTAGGAAAGAATTGGGTGAAATAAGATATAATATAAAAAAGATTATGGTTCCTTGCAAGTTTTAGTTTTGAATACCAGTACAATAAAAAAATCAAGCACTCGTTATATATGCATAATAGTCAGAACTAACAAAATTAAACTCTTGGTTTGAAAAAAGTAAAACAAAAATATATAATTACAGTAGACTCCCTCTTATCCGGACTCCTCAGGACCGAGGCCAGTCTGGATAGCGGGTTTTCCAGTTAAACCAATAGAGCCTCAAACTTTTAAAATTAGGAGCCGATGTACCGAGGAGGTTTAACTGATATCAGATTATAAGGTGTCCAGATAAAAGAGAGTCTACTGCAGATTTCAAAATAATATAACAGACCTTTGAGAAACATCTGACAGGGATGAATTTTCAATAAATACATTTAGTTGTTTTGTAGAAATGGTGAAACAAATACAATCTCTTACAAGAGATTTAAGTTTACATTTAAAAGATGTGTATATGCATAATTTGGCAAGATATTTTTAAGCAAAATAAATAAAGGCAAAAATAAAGTTAATAGTCAGGAAAATGAAGAAATATATTTTTCAAATTTCAAGCATTGTGTTAGTTCATTTAAAAAATCATCTATTTCATACATTCCACTATATGGCTTTGTTTGTCGCAGCAAGGAAATAACAAGATAAATATATGAATTTGACCGTTGCTCTTTCCCTGATGAGACTGTTTTTATTTGAGTATATTTTACCACTTCTTCTGCGATCGGATTGCTTAGTGTGGTTGAGGCAATAATCTTGTAAATTATGCATAAAATTGTTTACATGGGAAACAAAAATTACAGCATTAGATGCTGAGATACTAACCATAGTTTAGTAATTAAAACTAAATGTGTGAAAACTTTACAAAACATCTTATAAGGTTGCTTCCGTGCCTCGGAGGGCTTAGAGATTCCCCAAAAGTATCTCACTTATTCTGAAATCATACTCATCCTTTTAGATGTTGGTCTTTTTAAGTCCAACATTCAAAAAGAACTCTTAAACTAAAAATAATCAAAGCTGCCAAATTGACATCTAAAACAAAAACATCTAGGCTTTTTACAGATCTGGAATCATTGTGAGAGCAATAAAATAATTACACAATAATTATTTTATTCTTTTACTAAGGGTGTTCAACCTATTTTTGAGTTTTGTGACTTGAATTGTTTGGGATTCTTAAGCTAGTGGAGAGGATAAATCATTTCGATTTTATTTTACCCCACATACTAAGCAAACAATTCTGCTAAAACAATCAGGTTTAAACTACAGTTGAGATCAGTTAAGGATAAGGTGTCTTGTTTGAGTCTTAAATATAAAAAAAAATTAAATTCGCAAAAAAACTATTACAAAAGGTTTTACAAAAGCGGTTGGACACCCATAAAATAACCAGCAAGAAATAAAATTAGTTCAAAGCTTTACAAAACACTCACGCTTGAGATTCACTAATACCATCACAGCAACAATGACATACTACTTCAGTCAGACTAACTACGAGAGTTTCTTTGGTGTCTAGTTGAGTATATGTAGAACAGACTGATGACTATCCGAGACCAAGAGACTGTCGAGATATCGAGGGTTCTCTCTGAGGTATTCTCGATACTCGTCAATGATCTCTGACAACATTGCCTCATCAGATGTACCGTCTGTGGCTATCGTACACACTGAGGAGTCCAGGCTGCAAATAAGGAATTGGAACTTGAACATCAAACTTCCATAGAAAATACAATGCAACTTTTAAAAATTAGACCTACAAACTCACGTTTTTAGAGACATATGAAAATATTTTTTAATTGTAGAAAAAAATTTAATTGTAAAAAAAATAAGTTTTAAGGTCAGTGGGGGTTGAAACCCCTGAAACAATAAATCATGAACATCTTCAGCAGTCGAGGAGACATCATCATCTTCCCCCCCGATTGAAGACAAAACCTAAACATCTCCTGCGATCAAGGGAACATCATCATCGCCACGTCATAATGTCTACTACCACTCATAATTCAGTAACATTTATAATATTGATTGAAGGTTTCAAGTATTGTAATTTGTAATAATTAATTGTAAATCAAAATCAAATAAACTTATGGGGACCGGGGACCAGACAGTCGAGCTGACCTCGATACTGGAAACATTGGGAACTGTTGTAAAATTTGGAAGACCGAACAAAAGCTAGTTAATTGTCAGTAGACTACGTTCATTTTGATTAGGACTGAGAAATTTACTATCTATAATATTAAAACGAAACAGGGTTTTTTTATTTCACGATTCTGAATCAACCACTTGACGGATTTTCATGATTTTTGTGTTGAAAGAAAGATAATTTTGAGAACTAGGGAATGTTGAAGCCATAATTTTAGTTTAGGGTCCCAGATTTTTAGAAATTATTCACTTTAAAATGCAGTTTATTACCTACCGTAAAAGATCTATGTTATCAGGAGATTGTGTAATTTAGAACTAAACATTTTAAACGTATAATCAAGTTTTGTCATAAATGCAATCCGTCTAAGTATAAATCCTTTAAGATATAAGTGGTTTACGTGTTGATACATCTTTTTCTAGATGTTTGAATATAAGTATGACTGCATACAGTACACATGAAAATGTCAACCGGTGTAGTAGGTCTCCAGAAAACTGACCAATAAGCTGCAGGGTGTCAGTAGAAACCAAAATCGATTCATACCATATCATAACTATCCCAGTAGTACTGTATGATTCAGAAACTTGATAAAGGGGTACATTCCAAAAGGCTCAGATCTCGGATGGGCTGGGCAGGCTTTGCATGGCGGAGAGAAGATACTTCAACTTTTAAAAGTGTATTCCAAGGAGTACTACAAGGTAGACGACCACTTGGAAGAAGACCAAGTAATGAAAGACATCTTCAGACTGGTATCTTCCTTAGAAATGGCAGGGGATAGAAGAGAACGGGAGGCCAGGATCATTTTAGAGGTTTCAGTGGCCAAGGTGGTAAAATAAGGTACGGTAAGTGATAGTAGGCCTATGCAGTGGAAGGTGGTATGTAGCTACTGTACTCAAAGCCAGTGTGTGTGAATCGGCCACCAAGTTGTAAACTAGCTGTTCTGAATCATATACAGTTTTAATGGACTACTCGATTCCCGTACGTAGGACGGGCCAAACAGCTCTACAAATACAAATACAAAACTATGTTGCCCGTTGCCGTAATCGTTCTTAAGCTAGCCCTAGTTGCTCACAGGATGTTCCCGTGAATCCCGTGACCTCTTTTCTAATGTTGCTTTCGAGTTTTAGCTTTAGACACATCACTTATACGTATTGTACTTAGAAAAATAAATAAATAATGAAAGTAACAACCGCCATGCGCGTAATTCGTCCGATGCTGCCGCGCATATCGTTTGTCGTCATGGTCAAAACGTGGGCGCTTATAGGCCCCTGTCCTATTGGTATTGCAATCCTAATACCGTATTCACATTTTAACGTTGACTGCTGGCACTTGATACTTGTCCTGTAAACCGATGGTGCTGAGACTTTCCTTTAGGTATCAACACAAAGCTAATTATAATAATATTAAATGGTTATGAAATACGTTTTTTGAACATTTTCTCCTGCTCTCGGGGGCTGGATGCCCCCCCGGCCTCCTAAGAGCAAATAGAATTGTCTACAACATAAATGCAAATAGTGCATCAGTGTGAATCACTTTGATTGACGAGCTGTTGGATATTTAAGTAAAATTTTAAATTAAGATGATTTTTACCGAATCTGTTTGAGGTATAGACTTTGCACGAAATTCCTAACAATCATGCTCGTACCATAAATACCTAATTCCTGGTCTTGAGGCATAGCATAATATTAGATTCAATAAGATTCAATAAGATAAGATGATTCATCAACATAAATAGGGTTTGTTTAGAAGACAACTAGTTTTTAACTAATGTCCAACTATAAAATATATTTGTCAACACTTTTTAATCAAACATTATTTTGTTCTCGGATCCATTTGAGTTTTAAGACTAAAACTTAAAAAGTCAATACATTGTTAAAAATTTCAAATTGTTCGTTCATGGTTCTTCAATTTACTCTTGAGGAGACAGAATAGCTAGAGCTAGTACTCACTTGTATAGTGTTGCCATCAGTCTGTTGAGATGGGTAGGCAGCACATATGTTGTGAGAGGGTTCAGGTATGTCCTGACTTGAGGAAACGTCCCCTCTCCGTGGTTGACAGGGTCTAGCCTGTTTCAAAAATAAATAATTAAGTGAATTTTTTTAGGGAGAGGAGGGAAAGTGCATTCACACACACAGGTGGCCAGCCTGTACTGTGAGACTCCTGAGAGGATCAGAATAGCCACTAAAAAACCCCCTCTACTCTGTTGGACACAGACCTGGGATTGTTTGTCACATTTCATCATGTCACTTATGTCTTCATGTGACCTAATCTCTAGGGCTCCTACTGTTTCTGGTATTCTGTTATTTTATTACCGAACCGCATCTCAATTAAGGTCGATCTTCTTAGCACGGAGAATACCCTGGACGAAATGTGAGACACAGGTCCAATTGTCCTCAATCTCTGTCGTCATTGGGATGACCGTGTCAACCATCAGCAATCCTACATTGTATTGAGCCTCCAGGCAGGGCCTTTCCCAATGTGGACAGTCGAAAAAAGTTTATTCCCTGTCGTCGGTAAAGCCTGGGCAGTAGATACAATCGGGTGACACAGCTTTGCCCATCCTGAACAGGTACGACCGGAAAAATCCCTGACCTGTCAGAAATTGAGTGAGGTAAACAACTACCTCGCCGCGCTGCCGATTTACCCAAGGTTGGACTTGCTGAATCAGTCGACTGGTCCAGCGTCCCCGTGTCTCCTGTCAGCTCGTGGGTAAGGGTTCTTACCTGGTCCTCTCCGCACCGCCGATATATTGCCTTCCTCTCTGCCGCCAAAAGATTGACGGCGATGACCGTTCGGTAGGCGGATGCTAACCTGAGTGCTGCCTGATGCTGCACTCGGGCGAGCCGCATCCTGTACACCTCCTTATCAAGTGCATCTGTCCACACTTCCGCACCGTACAGGAGTATGAACGGGACATCAACAGCCTTCTGCGACCTCCGACATTGGCCATTAACTGGCTAAGGGAAGAAACCACCTTAGCGGCCTTGTCCGCTGTACGGAAGATATGGTCCTGCCAGCTAATTTTTGTCCGGCAGATGTCCGATCAAGTTCGACGTAAGGGTGGTTTGCAAGAAAGTGGACATTCACAGTTATTTCTCTTGTGAAATGAGCTATTTGTCAGCAATGACAAAAAATTTCATATAAATGAGACATTTACAAATAAACTAAATGTATATTATAACCTCAAAACTATTAGAAATAACATCAGAGTTTTTAAAACAACCTTAAAGTCCTAAAAAAAGAAAAAAACTATCACACATAGCTCAATCATCCAGTTCCATAAAAAATGAGACCCATTAAAGTAGTTTTGGTTAAAATAAAAAAATCCTGTCCCTAGGAATATGCAGGGTATGCACTCTAATGTTTGGAGGGAAATGGTTGTACACTGTAAGTAAATTGGGGAGGCCAGCTGTAGTAATAAGGGTAGGGGACGATGGTATGGGAGCTGGATGGCACGATATTCCAGGTCAGTTACCACTTGGCAAACCTTCATTCCAGCCTCCGCAATGAGGTGGGGAAGGAATAATAATAATAATAATAAATCTTTATTGTCGTTTGGTAATATAAACATTACAATAGACAAGGTCAACATGTTTTGTTACATAATAAAATATGTTATATAAAATATTAAATATTCTACAGAAAATGTTAAAATAAAGTTAAAAGAATCTTAAAAGGATAAAGCATCAGTAATAATAAAAACTTTAAAATTAACAGGGAAAAGACCATAACAAGAACAAAGAATCATCAAGACTGCTTGGCCTCACATTTAAGCGTTGAAAAATCTTCATTCTGCAAAAACTCATCAACTGAATAAAAAGCACGACTTGTAAGCCAATCTTCTGATAATGTTGACCTATACAAATTAATACTTTCCTGATTTCTAAAATGTATTGGAAGTTTATTAAATAGTTTTATTTGAAAATATTTATAACTTATGATAAATTTTAATAGCCTGGCTTGGGGAATATATAAATCTTTTGATTGTCTGGTGATATACCCATGGATTGAGTTGCAAGGAACAAATTTATTCAGATTCTCTTTAACGAAAACTAAATTGTAAAAAATGAAAATATTAGAGAGTGTCATGATTTTATTTTCAGCAAAAAATGCTTTGCAACTAACCCTATCTGGAATTTCAAACATAATTCTGAGAGCCTTCTTTTGCCATGTAAAGACCCGGTGAGCTCCTGAGCTATTACCCCACAGTATATTGACATACAGCAAGTGTGAGTGAAATAAACTGTGGTAAACAATTAGAAGTGTTGGTTTAGAAACACAATTTTTAAGTTTTCTTATCAAACAACATACTCTTGACAATTTTGAAATGATATTATTGGTATGTATTTCCCAAGGAAAGGCTTAACAACTTCTGTCACACGTGAAAAAAAATTATCCACAGCATGTTTTTTTACTGAATTTTAAAACATAACTTAAAACAGTGTTAATTAGCACAAAACAAAATGAGAATCCTCACAGAGTTCTCACCTGTCCGCTCAGCTTGCACGCCAAAGATGACTGTGGGTCATCTTCAGCGTGCCACGCTGAGGACTCACGCTGGACAGACGGTGGGAAAACTCATGTCCCGCGTGATCGGTCGCGCTTGGAAACCGCACTCATATAGAATCATGGCTTCAACTTAAACTCGATTACGTAATCAAACCACGCTTGTCCACTCAGGCTGTCCGTCCGGCGTGATCTTGGAAACCGTAGCTTTAAGATTAAGAGTCCTTGGAGAACTAAAGAATTAAAGAAATTTCTAACCTCACAGTATACTAGATATTTAAATTGCACACTCAAGTTTTTGAAAAAAACTATTGTTGGACGGTAAATAACTCTTCAGCAGCTGTTTGAAATTAACAAAATTAACATTGCTCTTATGGCGGGCAAATCCAAGATGGGCATTAGATTTCCCTTGGCATGGGCATGGACTCCCTTGGAGAACAATTCAAAAAACAATTCAAAATTTCAAAGAACATTTATAATCCCACAGTATACAAGATATTTAAATTATAATCACTATGGTGTTAGAAAAAATATTTTTGGACGATATGTAACTCTTCAGCAGCTGTTTGAAATCATCTAAGATGGCCACTAGCCTCCAAGGACTCTTAAGGAGACAACAAATCAACAACAGATATCCAGTCTGTAATTCTTCTCAGTCTGTAAAGAGCTTGCAAACCCTATCAATCAATGTGATTCTTCCAAAATAATTTTTAATATGATGCCGTCAAGCTTTTTAATAACCTTCGGATCAGGGCCGCTTTTATATAAGGGGCCCAAGAGTTTTAGGTTTGTTGGGGGGTATGGGGGGGGGGCAAAGAAGAGAAACATTCCCCCACAAGGTAGGTGGTTAGGGGCACAATTATGTCTCGAGCCCAAAGCACATCACATACAAGTGGGCCTGCTTCTGCAATTTGGCGAACAGGATTTAATGAACCTAAGAATAAAGCCTACTGAATTTTTTGCTGAATAATGCCTTCTGCAGCGTTCGTAAATTTCTTTGCCCTAGTGTGAATACAGTAGTTTTGTTAATAGTTTTTAATGGTAGATAAAAGATATTTTTAGTTCACTGAACAGATTACACATTTAAAACACGTGGCTTATGGAAGCTCCGCATAGTTAGCAAGGATTAAAGTATATAAAGGATGTTTATCGGAGTAAATTAACATTGTTTTCTCAACAAGAGTCAAATATAAGGTTCTCACCTGACTACAAACAATCTGTTGTAAGAGTCGTGTCCGCTGGTCTCATGCAGTGTGGCCAGTGCGTGGGCGGCTAGAGCATCCAACGCCTTGGGCTGTCTGTAGCGGACACTCTGCCCGTGGACCAAGGCCGCCTCCTGTACTACACTAGCAGGCGACGTCACCAGTACACAGCGCACCCGAGAAGAACTCAGGTGAGACATTAGCCAGCGTGCAGGGTTCTGGGCGACCGCGCCAAACTGGCTGTCTTCCCAGCAGTCAATCACCTGAATAACACCCAGTATGCATTTAGGACAGCAGGCTTACCTGAATGGCAAAAAGTCCAAACAAAAAATGTTGCAATAAACGCATAAATCATAAAATTTTGCTGTCACTCGTAGCATTTTTAACGAAGAAAGGTTTAAGTAAAGTTGGAGAGAGTTGTTCCTTGGTTGAAATTGCTGTTATTGTCAATGAATGATCATGTAATATTAAAATTTTTGTGTATGGTGTTAGTCAAGTTTTGTGTTTCTTAAACCTTGTGTTTAAACTAAACCATTTAACAATTTGTGTTAAACCATTTAGGTAAGACTGCTATTCACACAAATATCCTGGTTATGGATCCAATATGAGAAGAACTTCAAAATTATAATTTTGACTGTTTCTTATGTAATCTTAATTAACAACTTTACTATTCTTTCTAACATTTTCTCTTTCTCTTGATATTTTGGTTTTAATTTTTGTCCTTTAACTGCTCAACATTCAACATTTTTGGCTACTAACATTGGGATGAGATAACTTTTTATGAAAAACACATATTCACAGAAATCTTTCAACAGTCAAACTACAAAACACCCTATCCATATTTGTAAGATGCTTACATACATGAACAAAGTAAAATTTAAATTTATGTTTTACTAATTCATAGTAGCAATATTGCATAAAATAATAAATAAAATATTCTTTGATGTATCTGGAGAAACCTTTCATCAACTTAATTACCCTTATTTGAAGAAAACACTTTTACGCTTCAACTACATGATTCCCATAAACACACCTGACAGTTGTAAACACGCCTCATTAGCGTTCGCAGGTGTTCCACCGCCTGCATGAACGGTGTACAGTCCCTGACATACAACAGCAGCACTACGGGCCTCTCAGACACCTGCAGGTTCTTGTGTTGTACTGGCAGGAAGTGAGGCGCGCCTGGCATCAGGTGCTGATAGACCACTAGAGCCACAACCACACAGGCTGTAAATACAGCACAGCTAGATCAGTTGATGTATTTAAATATTACAGCAACAGGTTTGGTTTATTACAGGGTTGTGAACGGAGTATAGAAAGTAGAGGTTGTAGTATCGAAGTTGGAGGGTAGTGTATTTCATTACAAGCTTATGAATAATTGAGTACGTTCCTGTTTATGTATTGCTAAACAGCTGATTTTAATAATAGAAATACATTGGAAACAAACACTAGCGTGTATAGTGGTCAAATAGTGAACTGATTGAGAGAAATTTTGAAAAAGATTTTGAGCAAGAGAAAAGCAGCTGATAATTTTTAAATATTTCCATTGCTCTAAAAGTACCAGTACTAAGAACCGAAGTTACAGTGCCGGATTTATTGTCTGACGATGGCGGCTACTTTCAGTAGCATCAGGTGCATTGGCAAAAGAAGTGGTTGTGGCTTTTTCCTTTACATACTGGGTGGAAGGTTGGCTGATATGTGAATATATTCCTGAGTGCCAAGGGATTTTTTTGTAATTTCACTCACATTAGTGATGAGACTTGAAACCACCTAAATATTGGAAAAATCATCACAGAAAAAACAGTGTCCAAAAGCTATCACAACATCGTGATAATCTCCCACGATCATGGCAACACCGCCATTTCCTACGATCATGAATTTCTTACTTGGCACAAAATCATTAGGTAGCTATTGGGCTATGTTTATTATAATTAGTACTCTTTGACTTCCTTAAATTCATGTACAATTCCCAGGTTTCCTAGTCAACTGGACTCATTTTATTCAATTTACAAAATTTGATGATTGAATACAAACTGCATTTCTTGGAAAAAATATATATTATGTTTTCTAAAACACATTAACAACTTTAATTATTATTGTTTTTGAATTTGTTTATAAAATGGAAATGGCAAAAATTTTCAAAAAATACTTATGAAATTACCTGTTCCCTATCCTCAAAAAGTACATTGTATAAACCTGTACAAAACAAAAGGTGGAATCTGCGGTTGCATTTAATATAATCTTGTTTTATAAGTCTAATAATTTTATAAATATAGGAAATGTAAGTGATTTGAATGAAAGCCAAGTTTAAGTGTAACAAAATCCGTTCGCTGCCGAGACCCATGATTGAACTTTTAACAGTCAGTGTGTGCTCATCCATTGAGGAACGTTATAATGTTATGCTATGCCAGCCTGTAGCTTAAAATGCGAGCTTTATTTTGGTGTAGGTTGGTACTAAAATTTCTCGTAAAATCCCGCCTGGCAATGCTTTTGACCCGGTTTTGGGGATTTTCTCTCTACCCTTGGGTGTTTCAGTGACCTACGTCTTCTCTCGGGGTAACGCAGCACAATCGACGCTGCTCTTTTGTGATTCGTCAGACTGGAATATTTGAATGCAAATTGCGTTTGCTGATTCGGTGGCAAGCGCCTGCTTGATTTATGCCACATTGATTGTGTTAAAAATGGAGGTGGTATTAAAAATGTATACCTATTCAAAAGTCATAACAACTATGACTATAAACTCGCCCATGCTATGCTCTTGGGCTTTCACATCTCACATCCCCATGTATAAATTACATCTTACATCATACGGGATTGAAAAAAAGACAATCATAAAATAAAGGAACACCAAAGAACTTTACCTATAATAGCAAAAGCGATGAATATCAGCATAATCGGGTTGATGGTCGGGCTGATTTTCGTGTCTTCAATCACCTCGACAGCTTGTTGCTCTGGTGACAAAAATTCTGTAAATCAACCAAAATGTGCCCAAAGTTAGCTCACAACCCCAAGCGACACGACCGAACACAACACTTGATAGGTTAGGTTTGTTAACAATGATGAGTGGTGATAGTAAGGTGACTAAAGTATTATCCCATTTCTGAGATAATGTTAATTGTGTGCTATAAAAACTAAGCAAGTGGTGTTGCAAAATGTTTCTGATTTTGTTACAAATGTGCTGACAACAGCTCTAACAGTAAATTGTGTTTGACCCTTAATAAATTTACCATCTATCTAAAATAACTTTTAACATTCACCTAAACATTAAATGTCAAGTTTCAAAAATAGAAATAATATTGCATGTAACATGCATCTTTTACTTGGGATTTAAAATATATTTTCTTCCAATAGTTTTCATTCTAATTCACAATAATATATTTTAAGTTCAGTAAAACCAAAATAATGTAGCGTTAGGTTTCTTTCACATTTACTGCCTATTTTTGTGTCTTAATGGAACAGAAAACAAGCAAATTACAAAAAAATTAACACATGTAACAAAGAAATACACACATAAAACACTATTATACTCCCATATTAGTAATCTCCTAATAAGTGATTAATGGTTATACTAGACCTAAAGGAATATTGATGATGACACACTTCCAACAAAAAGGATATTAAAAAAGACTTAAAAACAAAGAAATTATAAAAAGTACATTTTCAGCAAAATTATATACTCCACAACAGAACACAATATATAATCTACAACATCTTGTAGAGTTATAAATAAAGTATTAAGTGTTAGCAACCCAATCTTCACGAATAGCACAAGTAAAGTTGTTAGGTTAGTGATTTAAATCAATAAACTCTATAAAAATCACCACACTTATGATGAGTCTCAAATTACATATATTTTCACACACAAAAATCCCAATCTTCATGAATAGCACAAATAAAGTTTTTAGGTTAGTGATTTAAACTAACTCTAAAAATCACCAAACTTATGACTATCAAATTACATATATATTTTCACACAAAAAAATCGAACTAATCAATCACAAAAATAATGAAAACTGTAAACTAAAAACTTGTGCAAATAATAGGTGTAATCGAAACATTAATTTGAGTTAGTTTAAGTGGTAGACTCCAAAGGTTTTTTAAAACACAAGGGGTAGTGTACGAGGGGCGGATTCATGTACCGGCTTGTCATCCAAAACTTATTGTGCAAGGCACCAGAGGAAGAGGACATATACAAAGTGACATTTCATCTACTATATACTGTCTTTTATATTTTGTGTATTAGTTTCTTTGATAAGCGTTTAAATTTTAGTTATGTACACAGATTACATTTTAACATTTAACCATAGCCACTATTGTACAAGACGGTGTGTTTGTAATCTTGTGCTAGTAAAAAGTGTACCCTTTTCTTTTATTATAATTAGTTTTTTTTTAAATAGAGGTTGGCAGCCTCTTTTAACCTCGCATTTCCCCAGCCACATAAACTACGTATCTATGTGTGAAATGTGTCCAGCACAGCAAGGGGTGAGCTGATACAGTACGATGGTGTAGACTGATAAAAAAAGAGGCAGGTGCCAGTATCCGAACCCACGACTTCGTTGCCTTGGGTCAAAAATCTGAGGCACAACTAGCTGAGCCAACGCCTCATCACGATTTTAATTTGACTGTGATTATAAAAATGCTGTTGGTTTCCTGTCAATGCTCAGTTTGTCACTAATCTTTTGACGTTCAATGTTCCAACCCCCCTGAAGGGTCACATTCGAGTTACCAAAACATAGTGAAGCTTTTGTTTGATCAGTGATGGAAAATGTATCCAATAATATTTAACACAACATAAACTCAACCAAGAGTAAATACTGTGAACAGAGTAGCTACTTACGTTGGAACACCTCCCAAGTGCACGTCGAGTAGTTGTTATACTCGCTCCATACTGAGTCCGCGGCACAACGGTCATCGTCAAACTGTATCCTGACGCAGTAGTTACCTGGCTTCAGGCTGGAGAATCTACATCTCACCACGCTGTCACCCTGCAGACAAACAGTGGTTACTATACAGTCCTTTGAATACCTGCATATTGTTGATTCAATACGGTTACAGTGTAAACTAGTTCAAGCCATAGAGAGTAATGTACAGAGGAAACATATAATTGTGTCTAGCTCTAGTCGCTGGTGTCTAGGGTAAAGTCTAACACTGCCGGTCCTAATCTCCCTCATCGTCCAAGTACTCGCTCACGCTGAAGAAGACCCTATGCCCTGTGCGAGAGAGTCTTTTGCAGTGCTTGGCGCTCAGGCTCTTCCTTGCTTGTCACAAGTATATTTCCTTGTGCTTACATACGCGCACACACAATATATAATATACAAATATACTCTTCCACAGACTGGTAAATATTTCAGAATATATATATAGAATATATATTCAGAATATTTTAAACATAGCCTAATAATAAAAATTACAATCAAGTTAAACTATACAAAAAAACCTTGATACAAGACAAAATGAATAGGGTTTGAACAAAGGTTTTAAACCTTTGTTAAATCTTATTACAATATTATTATACCTATGCGGCGACTGATACAGGCTACGCAAATGGCTGCTAATATGCAAAGTAAATGCAGCACATTCCAATGGATCGGCTGTAACGAATTTATAGTGAACTACTGAGTTTGAGGTGTGTGCCTTCATGGATGATTCAAAATTAATTCACCTTGGGTCACCACCCATCTGTTTTCAACCCCAAGCACCCCCAATACAAGGATGCACTTCTAAATCACTTCCAAATAAAGATAAAATGTCATTCATCTGGTTTATATTAACACGGAAAAACTTTTAAAACATAGTGCATCTTGAAGAATATGTCTCTGAATAAAAATATTCTGAAACTCCTCTTCTCGCCGAACTATGAACAATGTTAGATTCTTTATTGTTTTTCACCATGTATATTTATATTTCTTCTTCCTTTTCTTGTTCAAGTAAATATACGCTGCTAACAACTGTGATTCTTCTATGACGATCAAAGAGCAACTGCACTAGTTAGTACTCACTTGTGTGAGCATCGTGGCATAGGAATCAAGACAAGCGTCTTGGGCCATATGGCTTTGATCGCGTGGCATCAGTCGCCGCATAGGAATTGGACCTTTATATGTACGTTGTTGATGGTATGATAGAATTACAAACCTGATATGAACAGGTTGGTGCTACTGTTTCTCCTTTACCAGTCTTGCACTTAATGTCTGGTGAACCCTGTAAAATTCAAAATATGTTAATACCAACTATAGTACAATATTATACTGTAATCTTGACATAATTTTATGATAAGTTACACAAAGTCAAAATTCTTTACTTTTAGTACGGAATCCTGCAAATACACCATAATAGTTGGCGACATGTAGGAAAAGTAATGTAATATTTCTTTAAACAATAACTTAAATAAAATGAGGATAATCCTCACAGAAACTAATTACTGCTTCAAATGTATAATGAAATTCAATACACATGATCATAATTCATATAATTTTGTAAACGTTTAAATCTGTGTTTTTTTATCAGTTCCATAATTATTTTAAATATATTTACCTACGACCGTTTTTTAAAGTAGCCTTTTCAGTTCAGTTCTTAGAACTGAAAAGTTTTACATAACAATATATATATATTGTTATATATGTATTTATTTAGTACCTAATACATTTCATAATAAATGTAATTTTATTAGTTAAGACTTGGCCAATGCATAATATTTGTTAATCTGGCTTAGTAAAGGACTTTGACTTTGGATTTTGAATTTTTTTACAGAATAGTTTACTTTCATAACAGCATAAAAAACTGAGGGTATACTCATAACAACACGGGTAATGGACTAATGAGGTTCAAGGGTAATGATTCAAACTTCAACTAATCAGCTGTTCAGGCCAATTTAATTGTTAAGAGGTGCAATTAGTGTTTGGTACAACAATGTTTCTTTATATCACTGTCAGTGGTAATGAGAGGTTATAAACAAAAACATAACCTCTCTTAGATGTTATGAGTAGTGATTTTTAGTAATTAAAACACTGTCGTTTTAACACTCGCCAAGTCTCGTACCTTAAATTTTCTACTTGTGTCGTTAACATTATCTTTACACAATCGTTACGTAAACTGCTATTATGATGGCTTTAACTGTAGGAAGGACTATGTTACAAGCTTCATTAGGATCTAACAACAACAGTGAAAGGCGGATGATTTCAACATTTACAAGAAGACAAAAGCACAGCTTGTACATGATGCCCACAAATAATAAATTAAATACAATAGAGTAAACAGTAAAATAAAAATGATTTTGCTTTCATAACATCATAATCTATAATCATTTAATAATCCTAATAAGGCCTCTATAATCTACCTACACAACACTCACTGAAACTTGGATTGAATATGCAGTCAATAGTTTATACCCCATGAACGTTACAATTTGTAAGGCTTGAAACAATTTGAAAACTACGGTAACTGATATTTAGTGGTGGTTCTAGGAACTTGTCAAAGGAACCACCGGGGGGATGGGGGGATGTTCCACACCCCTCCTCCCTTTGCAAATTTGGTATTTTTAAACTAGTTTTGTGACTTTCTAAAGCCATTTTTAACGTCTAAAACTGTGTCCAAAAATCTGCATTATTTAGGAAAAAATGTATGTTTAAATTTATTTTTCCATGGTCAAATGGGGCTTTAGCCTCCTCTTGGAACCACTACTGCTATTTAACAATTCATAATTTAATTGATCAATTACAATAACCAAAAATATTATCTCTTAAAACTATCCGCTATTGGACACTCGTCTACACCTAGTGAGTATTGATCGTTCAAGAAGTGACATCCAGATTGAGTCAGATTTTGTAAATGCTATCGTGACCGTGCAAGCCGATGCCAGGACAACAACATACGTAATCGTGGTCCCTGAAACTGGATTCAGTTACGACATTTCAAGAAACATCATGAGACAATTGTAAGCGATTTCTAGGATATCACTGACAAGAAAATGGAAAACTAAAAAAATATTATTTTTGCCTTAGATTGAAGAGGGGTGAGGCTGAACTGGTCCCATAAAAGTCTATATTAATTCTCGGAGTAGGACGAACATAATACCCTACTGGTGAAAGTAGAGGTGGGTCTCCATTACCTCCCAATTTTTATTTCCATAAGTCTATATTGGATCCCAGAGTAGGACTAACATATATATACTATACTGGTGGGAGTGCGTAGAGACACTCATCGTTATTGGTCCAGAATTGGCTTTTCCCTACTTCTTACTAAAGAGAGATATTACATTTAAACCGATTTCATAATTTGAGGGCATCCTGTACTGAAAAATTACTACCATAACTACTTAACTGTCTAAAAATAAAAATAATCTTACCAAACACGTAACACAGGATGCAAGTGATATTCCGGTATTTCTACAGGCATTGTGTCCAATTGAGGTATCAATACCATAACTGATAGAAATGTGTGAGGAAGACGGAACAAACGGGTAGTTGGCTTGCATTGTCACACTGAAAATGCAAATCATGCTAGAACTCGAGTAAACAAAATCAAAGTTGAATTTAAATTTTCCACCGCGGTGATTTCCCCAACTAAATTTGATTATGAAGTGTACAATAAAAGCATGTGTAAAGCAAACAGGCATAACAATTGACAATGATGGAGTATGAGGGTTATTGAAACAATGCCAATATTTTGTAAATAACTTCTTAATCAGAATAGTATGTGTGAAATTTTACGGAAAATAATTTAATTTTAAGTATATGTCTAATAATACATTAAACCTATATTTACACATACTGTTTCAACAAGACAGTAAATACAGATGAAAGATGGTAAGTGGTGATCGATTGGATGGTCCAATCAAAATGACCACCAACAGCTGTTGCTATTTACTGTCTTGTTTAAACAGTAAAAGTGAAAATATATGTTTCAAATTTTACAAAAAATATTTATTTACTTTCCATAACTTTTTATAAAAAGGGTATAATGTAAATTTTTTTCAAGTTGATTTTCAACAAATATTTTTTTAACTGAAAATATAAACACTCACACATTAGGATTTGACTAAGCATTTAATGTGTGGTACTTTTTAAAACATTGAAAAATTACAAACTTGTCCAGTGGCAAGAGATGACTAAAAACATGACTCTAATACAACAGATTTAACAGGCTAAAAACAAAAACATGCACAATATTACGACACAACATCCAAGATTAGCACAATACAAATTTCAAACATCCAATATTAGCACAATACAAATTTCAACAGCAAAGTGTGAAAATGTAGCATAACATTCACAAAGACTGAGTGCAACAAAATAGTAAATACATAACTACAAGCATTTATAAATGGAAAGGGATAACAAGAGTCAAAGTTAAATCAGTGAGGATGAACAACAACATGTATACGGTGGTTTTTATCTCTGGAATAACAAAAGACTATTATAGCATCTTTTATGTCACGTCAAACTTCTTAGTACCAAAAACTGAAGGAGATTAATTTTGACACTCTCTGGAGGCTGAATCAACTATGTTATATTTAAGTAAAAAATGGCTACAGCCGTTCCATATAGATGGGATGTCAACTTCAGTACCCAAATTCAATGGTGTTACCCGTGTGGTTCATTTGTTGAAAACCGTATTGAATATTTTCTGAGCCAAAACAAATAGGAGTCGCATCCTCTTTGAAAAATCTGTCTGAATTTCCGAGAACTACTCTTCAACAAAACTGAATCAATCCAAACCATAAGACACCTACTATGGGACATGCTACTAACGGAGACAACAACTAAAGCGGAGCAAGGAAGAGGTCTTACGACGGAGCCAGAGGTATTGAGGTAGACCCTAGCGGGGGTTCCACCTCCCCCGTCCGGCGGAGTCAAGTTAATCAGCTGTAGGCGAGTGAAAAACACACGGTTCATGTCTAAGTAGTTGACCAGCACTCTAACCTCAGAACCGCTACAAACAAAACAGTGGTTACTGGCAAACCAAACACATACACACACACACACATACATAAATTCATATCTCCTCGGCAAGGGTATTAAGGGAGTTTCTAAAACCTACTGAAACTCAAGTCAAGCAGAGGTTATAACATTTACCCTTCAAAATCATGTTAAACATTAAGTGGTCTTGTTTGACAGCCTTTAAAAAATACCACATGTTGAAAGGCGGTCGGAGAGGCCCCCTACTTGCGAAAACATGGGCTAAAATCATTCAATCAACCTGTATAAAATTAAATAGTGCTATCAATTAATTATTGGCTCCATTAAAACCAAGTATTTCATCATAGAGAATCTTTTTATGTCTGAAAATTCTCATGTATGCTCCAAAAGTATCTTTTATGGAGGTAATTAGATAATCAATTTCCCATAAGTGATATAATTATTTTTGGTACATTGCTATCACGCAAAGTTTACACTTACAATTAAAATTGATAGAAATAAAAAAAATATGTTAGAATCCAAACCAAAACTTGCCCTAAATTATTTAGTGCTGTAAAATATTTCAAAACCTTTTTAAATTATTACTAAGTGCTATTTCCTCGTGTTGCCATAGTTCAGCGTTTAGCCAAATGCAAATGCTGCGCTATACAAGGTGTTTCCGAATTGTCTGGACATATTTTGTGGACTTGTTCCCTGGGCTAAGACAAACATAAAACACCATATAAGTATGGGTCTAAAGTGCCTAGATTTCCGCCAGTTGGTATGTTTGTGATTTTTATAGGCCTAAATTATTTTATATCTTAGACATTTTTCAAGATAGAGATTTAAAATTTGGTATGAATGTGTAGTTCTAAAAGTAAAAAGAGCTGTGAAAGTTTCGTTTTAATATCTCAAGCCGTTTCAATATGGCGGCCATTTAAAAACTTTAATGCCAAATTTCATTAAAACCGTAAATATTAAGAAACTTCTTTACCTTACCAAAAAGATAGAGAATGTTAATACAAATCAAATGAGACCTTGTTGGTTAATATCGGATGACAAACAATCCAGTTATAAGTTTTTTCTACATTCGGTTATGCAATTTAGTAGGATTACCATACTTGAGAACATGGTAGTCCTATTAAATTGTGTAACCGAATGTAGAAAAAAAAACTGATAACTCAGTTATTTTTCATCAGATTTTAACAAACAAGGCCTCATTTGATTTATATTAGAATTCTCTATCACTATCTTCCCGGTAAGGTTAAAGATTTTCTTAATATTTACGGTTTTCATGAAATTTGGCATTAAAGATTTTAAATGGCCGCCATATTGAAACGGCTTGAGATATTGGAACGAAATTTTCACAGTTCTTTTTACTTTTAGAACTACACATTCATACCAAATTTTAAATCTCCATCTTGAAAAATGCCCAAGATATAAAATAATTTATAAAAATCACAAACAGACCGACAGACAGAAATCTAGGCACTTTAGACCCATACTTATACGGTGTTTTATGTTTGTCTAAGCCCAGGGAACAAGTCCACAAAATATGTCCAGACAATTTGGAAACACCCTGTATAAATGAGTTGTCTTCATTATCATAATGCATATTTAGCTCCTAACAACATACACTTAACTAGTGTTCATTACTAAAGTACTGGGGTGGTCCTTTGTATAACTATAGTCTGTTCGGGGAGAACATCACACTGGCATTGGCCTGGCCTCTCCAACCGCATCTTAAGAATGAGAAATGATGAAAGTTCCAAGATATACATATGTACAGTTATATACGCTGTATATCATTAATAACAACTGGATTAGAGAGAAAGTTTAGCAACCAATCTATTGGAAAACTATTCTACTGTACCTGGGACCTCGGTGCCTAACTTTCCCTTGCTTATATTTTACACTATCAACCACACAAACCCCAAAAGTGCTGTACAATAAGTGCCAGATAAGAAAAATTATGATTATATAGAAATGTTAATAGTGGGGATGGGTAGCAGAAAAATATTTCAGTTCTGGTGGAGAACATGTCACTTGGGGTGGTGATAATATTGATTTTTCTCATGTTTGACCCTCAAATCATAAAATTTCCCAATTTGTCTCTAAACCATTTTGAAGAGCTAATAATTTAGCATATTGAAGTGTTTTTATATGGTTATTGGTTATGTAGAAATTCAAAAAATTGTAAATTTTAAATACTATGTAATTTTTATGGAGAATAACATAGTAGAAGGCCGCCAACCTCAAAAAAAAAAAAAAAAAAAAAAAAAAATTACTTGTTTAAGATTGTTTGTTGACAACCTGGGCTGAGATGTTGTATTCAAGCACTTTAATATCAAATTATCAAATTTCATTAAAATCGGTTCAGGCATTCCGGTATTATAACCAATTCATGGCGACCCAGCATCCTCTTACAGCCGCTATCTTGATGACATCGATGACATCATTACGGACGACGGAGGTCCTTAAAAGTTTGGGTCTGGGCGGTTTTACGTTCAGAGACTTGTATACTATAACCACCTCAAGTGGCATGTTCTCTGCCAGAACTGAAATATTCTGCCACTTTATACAACTATACAACCCCACTACAAGTAAGAAAAGAACGCTCTTTCACATTCACACCACCTTAAAACTGTAACTGCAAACTCACAAAGCAGAAATCTATTCATCTGAATAAATCAATACTAATTTGAATTTTGATTTATTATAATTTTAAATAAGTTTGACATTTGGTTTAGCATTCAAGAAAAGCAATGATACAAAATTTACTCATTAAGTTTTGGAACAGCTGTGTTCATTACAGTCTATACTGAAGTGATTCTACTACAAAAATAACAGGTAACAAAAACTAAATTAAAAATATATTAAAAAATGTATTAAGTCATTAAATTTCAATAACAGACTAAGATAGCCAAGATATTGTATTTGAATTTGTGATGAAAAAAATAGACATAAACACAATTTTAAAAAGTGATTCCAAAATTGTATTAAGTATCCTAAAAAGCAAAAATTGTTTATATGAGTCATGACTAAGTATTATTGGTATTATTCAGTTCACTCCATTACCTCATTTGTACCTACAGACTATTACTAGCAGTCATTATTACAATTTCAGATTTTGACCACCAAAATAAATCAAACAAATCAAATTGGGTCAAATTGGTCAAATTGGAATTTAGCTTAATTTATTTATAACCATCGTAGAGAACGTGCATAGACAGATTGCATGCAACTATCCTGCATGATAAATATACAAAAGTTAAAAGGTTGTAATCAGTGTTGGATTTACCATTAATAGGCAGACTAGGCCAGAAGCCACTGAATTTTTATTTTCTAAAATTAACAAATCATCACTGTGATTAGTGGGATTACAGGAGATGTTTATGATCTTACCATGATCAAATAGAAACTCCACAAGGGATGAGGCTTCTCGTGTTAATTTGGCCTATGGCCGCAAGTACACTAAATGAGGCGCTGGTTGTAATAGAAAAGGTTATATTTAATTTTAAAGAATTGGTTTTTCTTGTGACAATGTTATGTCATACCTAGTTATTTATCCAATAGTGTACCATTTATACATGACCGTAAAATAATCACAGTTTTAATAATACATTTGGTTTTAAATCAATTCCTGGCAATCAATGTTCAATAATTGAAGGATTTATCCCACAGTTGAAATTTGAGACTACCAAGTATCCAAAATATTTTACAAAATGGTTTGTAGTGGTTTACAAACCTGGCAGAGTTCCACTCAAGATGAAAGATGGGGCTGTGCATGGTATTGATGGGTGTCTTGACATACTGCATGGTGACTGCTACAGCACTAGACACCAAGTCCTGGTACGCCTTCAGGTGCCTCTTGGGAGTAACAAACAGCTGGTAACAGGCAGTGAACATGTGTCTGAACTCTACCACACCTCTCTGTGAACATAACCAATGGTGTTGTACTGTTGCACTGTTGATAAACTCAAAGGATTACTTTGGAGGAAAACAGTAGGGAGAGTAGTCCTTTTAATGTATCTGATAAAAAGTAGGCTGTCACTGACTTATTGGAACATTTTAACTGTTAAATAAAAAACAAGGTTACCAAAACCAAAGTAAAAAAATCAGATTGATTGGGAAAATTAGCTAAGCAACAGGGTCTGCAATGGAATAGGTAATTAACCCACCTTGGCTTGAGCTCAGGAATATTAAATAAAAAAAACAACTATTGATTATTTAAGAAAAAGATTTAGTGTATATTTTGTATAGATAAATATACAGTTGTATATTTCAAGAGACAGTATGAAAAAATGTAAAAACGGCTGTTTTAGATATCTTTGAATCAAAACTGGCTTTAAATTCCAACAGTTGATTGACAACAAAAAAAGTTAGTCTGAAATGGCCTTTGCTACCATTAAGTTGGGTATTTAGGGTGTTCCTGTATATTTTGAACTGTTTAGTATGAAGTGCAACAAGAAAGTGCAGTCAAGTAATATGAAAGCAAAGGTGTTTAAAGCCTGGTGTGTATCCTCTAAGTACAATTATGGGGTGAAAAAAACGGACGTTATCACGACACAACAGTTATCTCAAAACAAAAAAATAGCCTATGACTCTCAACCGTCCTCAGAGAGGGTCGTGTGATTAAATTACTATAGTTGCTTGTATGAATGAGTAATAGACATACCTGAGTGCACTGGTCGTGACATGATGTATCCATGCAGTTACGTATGCTGACTTCCCTCTTGGAATGCTTATAGAAGTCTTCAGTGTTGGAGGGACAATTAGACGCCTCGTGTACCATCAATGTGAGGTCATACCCAGTGTAGTTACATCTCTGAGGCAGCAGAGGGTATGTCACCTAGACAATGTCACAGCCTTTAACCATCTTGTTTACGTTATTTCAAAAATTATAAATACTAGCACTAAAAATCGGTTTTTTACCTCTGTCAACAGCTCAACGCATTGTAACTTGGGTTACGGCTATTTCAGCATTACAATGCCATATTTAAACACTTAGAAGATTTAGCTGAAACAATGTCGTCATAGTTTGTGATATGAGTTTACAACACATTGACAAAGGTAAAACCTTTTTTTAGCGAATTTCCCATATAGGGAATAAGCTATTACCGTAGTACTCATGGTAAGACCTGGACGCGGGACCAATTTTTTTTTCGTTTTGAGGTCCCTAGAGGCCAAAAACACCATCCGTTCAAATTCATATATATATATTTATGTGTCCGTTAGCGCGATAACTAAAGCAAAAATGATCCGATTTTGATTAAATTTGGTACAAACGTGTAAACCTACGTTTATTCGAACGAGTTTGCAATCTACCATGATCGGACCATGGGAACGGGGGTTTACGGGGACTTTTATGGGGTAAAAATAGGTTTTTCCCATTTTTGACCCAAAAAACATAAAATTTAGCAATTTCTTTCCAAACCATTTTGTAGAGCTTAAAAAAACAAATAATTTAGTATATTGAAGCGTTATTATGCGCCTAATGGTTACGGAGAAAATTCAAAAAAAATTTAAATTTAAAATTCCTATGTTATTCTTATGGAGAATAAGTAAACTAATGTAATTTGCTTGTTTATGATTTTGATCAAATTTGGAAAATGTTTTTATTTCTTACTAACTACTAACATTTAAAAAAAAAAAAAAAAAAACAGTTTTACCCTCCCTGATGCAGCAAACCTAAGTAGGCCTACTTGTTAAACTAATTCTATTTAAATCGGGAATAAATGTTATATTTTTAAGTAGACATTTCAGTGTAAATCCAATCAGTCAAATGGAAATTCGCTTAGTCTGCAGGTTTGCTGCGGCGGGGGTATTTTAATTATATCACAGCTCAGGGGCTAAAAACATGAATTTAATGATTCTAGCAATCATATACTAGCCATGTGTTCAACTTATATTGAAGTTGATCAAAAACTTACGAAATCTTTGTTTACAAGTTGGTAGTCTTTTACCTTGCACTCAATGGTCAACATAGGCTCTAACCTGTCTATGAAACACATCGAGCAATGCGCAGGGCTGAGCCGGTACAATAAAAGAATGAGCTGTGGAAAAAATTAGTGGCGACAACTCATAACTCGCTACAGACTCACCAATGCCTAAATTGGTGAATACAGAGACATATTTTAACACTGTCAATCAACTCACAAGACAGTAATTTCACTCTATTATGTAAATTATTCATTTGAAAGTAAAAATATTGGGAGTCAATATGATGTAATATACTATTATTTTTGTCCTTTGAATTTTACACTATATGGTGGTTTTGATTTTAAATAGTCGATATGTCATTAGTTGCTGTAATCTCCTAACGGTTAGCTCTGGTTAGGTTTGTTGATCTGCGCAAATGACAAGATTCTATAGAGTACCACTAATCTGGCAAATTCCCAAATGATTAACCAAGAGGTCAAATTATTACAGCTTTATTCTAAAGAAAACTCATTTTTCTAGATTAGGAAAATTAAATTCAAGGGCAAGTGGTATTGAGTATTTCATTTTACACGGAATAATTCTGCAATGAAAATTAAAATATACAGCCTATTGGGTGCTTTGTTTTTACTTTCACCCCAAATACATAGTATTTGAAGAAAAGTTGCCTATTGTTATTGTCTCAATTTTCAAATTTGAGTTTTGGACAGTTATGAACAAATAGTAAAAATCTTTACTATTTGTTCAAAACAGTGATCATGGCCATAGAGCCGAAACATGTTACAGTAGTTATTCAATAAAGGTTCTAAATATTTAATTATTTATTTCATTTACTAATAATAATAATAGCCCTTAATAGTGAACGATATATTTATTCAATATATATGCCTACATATATAAAAATTTGAACGAATGGTGTTTTTGGCCTCTGGGGACATCAAAATGAAAAAGTAAATCGGTCCCAAGCCTAGGTCCTACTGTGCCACCTCAGTAATAGCTACTTAATAAAAAAAAGGAATAGGGAAATTAAGGGAATAGGGTAATAGGGAAATTCGCTAAGAGTGATGTGTATGTAGTAGTGGAATGCCTAGTTAAATTTTACCATAAAACAGGAGTAGCCAGGAGACTTTACTAGTTTTAAACCTAATTGATATACCTGCATGGTGCCAGAGACAGGGTCTTGAAGTTTCCAACATAGCACCAACGACTGTAGCTCGCTGCCATCGCAGAGGTTGAACGGCAACGTGGACAGGTAGTCACAGTCTGTAACAAACACACTTTGCTCATCAAACAAGTCAATATTACATGTACTTTGTTGAAGGGAAATATACTAAAGCCCTTCTAACTTCTAACTAACTCTTCTCAAACTTCTATTGTAACACACCAGTGCACTCACTCTTAACCAAAACTTACCCTCATGGATATCGTAAATGGTTGGTTAAACCAATAAGTTATAAAATTTAGTGTGGATAAACTAACCTCGGTGGTTATTCCAAGCAATGTTTGATCTAGGGTTGACTGAGAGAGAATCTACTGTAGTATCTTTTGGTCCTATCGTATATACCAGCTATCTATTGGTAGTTTAAAATTTGTATGTTGGTTTTTTTTAGTTTTTATCAAGTTATACATAGGTGAAACATTCTTCAGGCTTTAAGCATGTAGAGTAATTACAGCCATAATTTTCACATTGTAGCTTCACTATCTTAAGGAGTGATAGTACTAGCAAGCACTACACATAACACAGAAGAGATGGTAGGTACACAACATTATAACTTTTTTTCATTTGAGCAGCTCATTAAAACTTAGGCTTTAACAGTCTTAATTATTAAGGAACCCTGTGTAGCAAAATTGCACACTATGCGAATTACTATTTTCCTAACTGAAGGCTTTTATGACTTGTATATCTCTTTAAAATGTAAGATAATTCCCTATTTAATAACAATAATGAGTACTTGGATCTGCTACACATAGATAAATTTGCAAGGTTGTTCAAAAATAATCCATAAGCAAGCGAACTACAATAGTTTACTTATTTTCCATATCAATAAAAGGAGAATTTTAAATGAACAAAAACGTTAAAACGACTAAACTATTTGTTTTTAGCGAATTTCCCATATAGGGAATAAGCTATTACCGTAGTACTCATGGTAAGACCTGGACCCGGGACCAATTTTTTTTTTCGTTTTGAGGTCCCTAGAGGCCAAAAATACCATCCGTTCAAATTCATATATATACAGGGTGAGTTGCTACTAAGTGCGTTAATTTTTACCAGTTATTCTACTCACTAAAAGGAACAAAAAATGACAAACAAAAATTTTCCATCCCCACTCGTTATGCTGTAATGGCTGATTATGTGAATTTTTAAAATTACCTGTAGTAGCTTCACTAAAACGAGCATAGAAATTAAGCCAATACACGTACAGCATAATAAATTATACCAATTAAAAGAGCGTTCAATTTCCTACAAAACCATTGCAACACCGTTAACATACAACTATATTTTCACCGTTGTATGTCTCACATAACATAAAAAAAGAAGTTTCAAAATTAATTCTTTACAACTTCAAAGTAGTTTTACAACTATACATACTAATGTGACGTTTTGTCAAATTACGTAAAAAACTTTCCCATTTCATGCCCTTTAAAATTATGTAACCCATAAGGTTATTGCTGTATTAAAAGTTCGAAAAATTAGGTCAAAACCGCGTCAAGGTCAGAGTTTTCGGAATCAAAACATTGAACCAAATGTAATACAGTATCTGTTAATTTCTTTGCTATCTTATAATCAGCTGACATCTGATCAGCTGGGTGTTAAACTTTGTTTACAAAACCAGCTGATTTCAATTGTTGGCTTGTAAACATTTAAATTATTAACTATTTCATGAACATACTTGGAAAATATTTTAATTGTTTAGTGCTATGTCGGTGTTCACCAACAAAGTATCTTGATATGATTTTATATCCGTATATGTTCTCAAATGCAGCTGTAATATGACGTGAATACAGTCGTCAGTTTCCTAATAGGTGTCTTTCAAATGAACGAACATTCATCAGTGTCCATACAAGTTCCCATGGGCACTAAACATCATTCTGTTGGGAACGTGATACAAGATGTGTATTGTGTATGTGTTTAAGAAGCTGTGTCAGATGTGTTGGGGTGGTTTGAGGACGATCCACGGACAAGAACAATGACAGTTTCTCGTGACTTAGGTATTTCTCAGCTATTGAGAAAGGAAAAATTGCATCCCTACCATTTTACACGAGTACAGATTATTGAACCAAGAGATTGTCTTGTCTACAGAGACTTCAGTTATGTCGCTCTGTTAGTTGACTTGATCATCGTGACTTCCTCAAGTCGATTTTGTAGACAGACGAATCCAAGTTTACTCGGGATTGTATTTACAACATCCATAATGGACATCACTATGCTACAGAAAACCCACATGTGATACACCAGTGTCGAAACCAAATAAGATTTAAGTTAAATAGATTACTCTAAAGTTAGTTGGCCCTTTCATTGATCTTCCATATTCATTAAACTGCTGTCAGTATCTCAACGTCCTTACTGATACTCTACCAAGGCTCATTGAAGACGTCCCGTTGGATGTACGTAAGCGAATAGTTTAGCAAGCATATAGTGCACCTCCCCACTTCAACAATGGGGTGCGAATTTACATTGGAAATACTTTCCCAATGTGGATTGGAAGAGGCGGATCAATTGCTTGGCCACCACAGTCACAAGACTCCAATGGACTACTACGCTTGAGGTTACCTCAAACAGGAAAATTACCGAACACTAGTTCAAACAGCGGATGAGCTAAGAAATCGGACTTAAGCTTCCAACCTTCTTCAAGAGGAGCTAAAATTAAAGGCAACAGTGAGAAACTTTCGGAAAAGACCATATTTATGACCACATGTATTAGAGCAAAAGTGGTGGACATTTTGAAAACTTACTTTGATTAAAAATCTAGAAACCAGACTTTACAGGATTCATTTCGTTTATTTGTACAAATGTATTAACCTAGATTTTTGTCAAATTTATTTTGAATTTTTGTCATAGAATTATAAAATAATGAAATAGTTAATAATTTAAATGTTTACAAGCCAACAATTGAAATCAGCTGGTTTTGTAAACAAAGTTTAACACCCAGCTGATCAGATGTCAGCTGATTATAAGATAGCAAAGAAATTAACAGATACTGTATTAGATTTGGTTCAATGTTTTGATTCCGAAAACTCTGACCTTGACGCGGTTTTGACCTAATTTTTCGAACTTTTAATACAGCAATAACCTTATGGGTTACATCATTTTAAAGGGCATGAAATGGGAAAGTTTTTTACGTAATTTGACAAAACATCACATTAGTATGTATAGTTGTAAAACCACTTTGAAGTTGTAAAGAATTAATTTTGAAACTTCTTTTTTTATGTTATGTGAGACATACAACGGTGAAAATATGGTTGTATGTTAAAGGTGTTGCAATGGTTTTGTAGGAAATTGAACGCTCTTTTAATTGGTATAATTTATTATGCTGTACGTGTATTGGCTTAATTTCTATGCTCGTTTTAGTAAAGCTACTACAGGTAATTTAAAAAATTCACATAATCGACCATTACAGCATAACGAGTGGGGATGGAAAATTTTTGTTTGTCATTTTTTGTTCCTTTTAGTGAGTAGAATAACTAGTAAAAATTAACGCACTTAGTAGAAACTCACCCTGTATATATATTTATATATATATATATATATATATATTTATATATGTGTCCGTTAGCGCGATAACTCAAGCAAAAATGATCCGATTTCGATGAAATTTGGGACAAACGTGTAAACCTACGTTTATTCGAACGAGTTCGCGAACCAGCATGATCGGACCATGGGAACGGGGGTTTATGAGGGCTTTTATGGGGTAAAAATGGGTTTTTCCCATTTTTGACCCAAAAAACATAAAATTTTGCAATTTCTTTCCAAACTATTTTGTAGAGCTTAAAAAAACAAGCAATTTAGTATATTGAAGCGTTATAATGCGCCTAATGGTTACGGAGAAAATTCCAAAAAAAAATTAAATTTAAAATTCCCATGTTATTCTTATGGAGAATAAGTAAACTGTTGTAGTTTGCTTGTTTATTAACATATTTTGCCCAAATTTGGAAAATGTTTTTATTTCTTACTAACTACTAACATTTTACATAAAAAACACTTACCCCCCCCTGTTGCAGCAAACCTAAGTATGTGTTAAACTGATTCTATTTAAATAGGGAATAAATGCGATATTTTTAAGGAGACATTTTAGTGTAAATCCAATCAGGCAAATGGAAATTCGCTTAGTCTGCAGGTTTGCTGCGGCGGGGGTATTAATCTATGCAAAATATTTAGAAATAAATTGTAAAAATATATGCTTTTAGCTTAAATGTTTAATTTGAACAGATGGTGTTTTTAGCCTCTAGGGAAAGTAAATTGGTCCAGGGTCCAGGTCTGACCAAGAGACCTACAATAATAGCTTATTCCTTACAAGGGAAATTTCCAAAAAGTTTTCAGAGCGATTAGATTGTGGCTTGAGGACAAATTTTAAAGAACAAAAATCTAGTAAAGTACCTAATATCAAAAATACAAAATAATACAATGCTTAAAACATAATTTTAAAAACATCACAACAAACATCTTTTAACCTTTGTTGTATCTTTTTGTAAAATAGAGTTACAGTGGAAAAATAAATTAATTGGATTGAACAACTAGTTAACAGGATTAAAATCATAATTTGTCCGACTCCACAGTCCCTATCTAGCCTTATTTCATCAATTTTTAGTATTTTTCTACAACTCTATATTTCTCACTGTACATTACAGCCTCACCAAATTATAACCAGATACTCATCAACATTCGCCGTAATTACTTGGTGTAACAAGTCATTACTACTGGCTGCCGTGCAAGAGCATTTACGCCTCTCTGCACCCGTATTTACGACACACCCAAATATAACGTAAATTATAAAACCTTTAAAATGTCCTGTAAAACTTTGACACGGTGTAATATTTTTGTAGCAAAACTAAATGAAATTTCAGAAGCGTCCGTTGCAAAGGGAATTTCAACCTAAAAAATTGTCAATCTCAAAATAGGATCTCAGAACAGCTCATAGTTGCAATCTTCTCCAATAAACTATCAAAGATCCAAATTAAATAAATTTAAAACAGGACAGAAGATATTATTAATATTGTCAAGTGCCTTACTATCTAGATCCTCTTTGTTGATTATAAAGGAAAAA